AAAACCAAACACATGGAAAGAATTCAGAGAGCAGCTCAGATAAAAATGAAATTATCTACAAAGAAGACCCAAGTTTAAATTCCAGCCAAGCCATCCCATGTGCAGCCTCCACCCATCTGTCATTGGCGGTGAAGTCCTGGCATGGTGCTGTGGGTTAATGCGCTGGACTGCAAAGTCGGTTTGAACCGCATTGTTGGCGGTTTAAGCTCATCAGCTGCTCATTGGAAACCCTATACAGGGTCAGAACTGACTTGATGACATTTAACAACAACAACGATGCTGAATTGGTTTCAGCAGAGCTTCCAGACTGAGATGAACTAGGAAGAAAGGCCTGGAGAACTGCCTCACTGGTGAAAACCAGCCAGTGAGAACCCTGTGGCCCTGCAACCACCCATGAGTCCCGGGGCTGACTGAATAGCAGGTTGTTGTTGTTGTTGTTAAGTACCGTGGAGTCACTTCCGACTCATAGCAACCCTGTACAGCGTTTCCGAGGCTGTAGATCTTTATGGGAGCAGAAAGCCTCATCTTTCTCCTGCGGAACAGCTGGTAGTTTCGAACTGCCGACCTTGAGGTTAGCAGCCTAACTCATAACCACTACGCTACCAGAGCTCCTTGAATAGCAGGTAACAATTGGCAAAAATCCCAAACTCACTGACTCATAGGGTTTCCAAGGCGGTGAGCCTTTAATGGGAGCAGAAAGCCTACCTAGCCAGTGGGTTTGAATAGCTGACCACCATGCAGTTAGCAGTTCAGTGCTTATCTTACAGGACCATATGGACTCAAATATAACAACAATTATGCAGATGGTACATGATCATTGTTTTGTTGTGCATATAAGTTACTCACATGAATCAGAAATAATTCAACAGTACCTACCACCACCACCAACAACAAAGGCAGTTCATAAGCACAGGCAATGCAGGAGTGTGAAGGCCCAGCTCCCCTGCCACAGGCGGCAACAACCCAGGGACCTAATTTACACTTCAGAGTCCCCCCCAGAGATCACACTGAAGGTGCCTTCCCTCCCCAGACTGCTGGAGGTCATACGGGACTTTAACTGCCCTCCTCCCTGACCAGCTGTCACCTGAGGGCACGTTCTTAATAAATCGCTTTGTACACAAATCTTCATGTTTTTCGGGAAGCTGACCTTAGACATGAGGGATGAGATTTGAGGAGGGCGTGTTGTTGTTGTTTGTTGTTAAGTGCCGAGTGAGTTCCAAACATGGTAACTCTGTAACTCTGTACACAGTTTCCAAGGAGTGGCTGGTTGGTGGGGGTGAGAGGCTTTGTTTGAACATTTATTGAAAAATGGTGTGGCGCTGTAGGCAAAGCACTGGACTGCTAACCACAACGCCAGCAGTTCAAACCCACCAGTTGCTCTAGAAAACCCTACACAGGGTTGTTATGAGTCGGAACTGACTCAATGGCACTTCACAACAACCACAATAGTGGAACAAGTTTTGGTGGGGGGAGGGGAACGAGTTTCAGTACTTTCTGAGTATAAAGTGACTGGGAAGCCCCAGTAGGAATGCCAAGGAACGGGATGACTATGGGCTGCCGAATCAGATGTGGCTGGTCCTGTCCCGTTCTGGCTTGCTGTGTGACTGGTGTGGTCGGTCACCCTCTCTGGGTGGTAGTTTCTCGTTGGTTAGGTGTCCCATGGTCTCTCAGGACTCTGTTGCCCTCTGCCCGCAGGATAGACAGAAGATTCCTCCTTAGGAACCACAGCAGGGCTCCCACCTCAGCAAGACGAGTGCTGCTGTGTGTATGTGGGGGGAGCGCAGGTAGGCCTCCCCCCATACTCAGCTCGGGGGGCCTTGCTCTGGGGAGAAAGTACTCGATCAAGAAGCTGTCCTGGCAAGCCGACCAACCTGGAGTGGCTAGAACAGAAGAGACTTCTTGAAAGAAAGACCTACAGGAAAAATATAAAACAACATAGGCAGACCGACTGTTACTACGAGAACAAGCAACATGCTTGCCCAGGAAACATCAAGGCAAGTGGTCGGGTCCCCTCAGTGCAAAACTCCTTCCAAGACTAAGACTCAATGGGAATACACGCTGTGATTGGTGACCACGCTCGACACGGGTAAGGGGAAGTGAGGGTAAAACAGCAATGAAGCGGTGAGCTAAGCCCTACAACGTTCAATGGTCAATAGACTTCTGTGAACCCGGGTGAAGACCTGGTTGGCCAGCAGTGTGGCAAGACCTGGGGACTCTTGGTCCCAGAGTCAGTGACATAGCCACAGAGGACTAGAGTGGAGAGTGAAACGTCCAGCTGATAAGAAGAGAGGGCATATGCATAAGAACACCCACATTTGCAGATAATACCCACTTGTCCTGGCTTCAGCGACTGGATGATCAGAGCGCAACCAGAAGTAAAAAGAAGAGAAAAAAAAAAAAGTATTCTCATACAATTTGATGAACTTGACCTACACCTATGGAAGCAGTAGCTCAAAAGAGAGTACAAGTCCTTACATTTCCACCCCCTCCACACAGAGTAGACAGGGATGTGCAACTTGGACATTGGCTACCCAAAATGGGGGGTGGGGGGCTACAAAGGCAAGAAGTGAATGGCTTACAAGCTTTTAAGAGGGAACCTAGACCCAGAGGGCCTGGAGGAAGGTAGAATCTCCAGTGAGTAGTATTCAATCTGACTAGGCGGGGCTGATGCAATGAAATGCAGACGATCTCTTGTGATACAATAATGAATAATTGTTATCAGGACTGATTGTGAGGGTTGGAAATGTAAAGGTGGACATTTTATAGCAAGGAGGGGAGTGATTAACTTTTCAGTCTAGGAGCAGAGGTCCCTAGGACCATCAAGGGAGAAGAGCAGAGAGCAGGACCCTACCCAGAGAAGCAGTGGTGCCTGAAATGGAGCCGGAGATGATGATGTGGAGCAATGGAGCAGCTGGAGACTTTAGATCAAGAGAGGGAGAGCGACTGTGTGCTGAAGACCTGGGGGGCACGGGGGAAGGACTTCATGGAGGGGATTGTAACCATGGCAATGAGACAATATATGATAGAATGAATGTAAAACTAATGTTCTCCCATGTAAACTATCACATAATTCACAATAAAACATTTAAGAAAAAAAAAGAAGCTGTCCTGGAGGCACCATTCTCTCTCTCCCACTGAGTGAGGGATGGTGGTTGGCAGCACCTGGGGTGAAGATGGGCTCTAACTATGTTGCCTTCCCGCCTCCAGGAATTCTCTCCTCATCTTCTAATCCCCACCTGGACTGAAGGGAAGCCTTTTGGTGCCAAGGCCCCAGGGTACACCTCCCACAGAGCTGCGAGGGTGGGAGTGGGGTGGGGGTGGAAGCCTGTCTCCTGGGTCTGATGGGAGCAGTCCTCATGCCCTGGGCTGCTGTTCTCTGGCACGCCACCCCTCCCACCTGTAGGCAATTAGGCTCCTGCCTAGAAAGGCCGATGTGGCCACTGCAAGGCCCACCCGTGCACTCAGCGTGTTTCCCACTGAGCAGGGCACAGTGTGGATGAGCAGTAAGTGGGTGCTTAGCTCCGGGCTCTAGCTCCTCTTCTCCAGGCCTTTGAGTTAGATCCCAGTCCACCAACTGCTGCTTCTGACCCTCCTGCATGAGTGCTTGAGCCCAGCAGCCGTGCTGTCTGTTGCACCCCGCCACACCGAGCAGAGATAGACGTGCCACCAGCCTACCCGCCCCTGCCCACCCAGTCCCTAGCCCTCATGGCTGACACCCCCTAGGTAATGACCCCAGGAAGCTCCTGGAGCCAGAGAGGCCCCAGGACAAACCCACAAATAGGGGTTGTCTAAGATTCCAATTCTCTAAGTGACCAAGTTCAAGGCTGTGCCCAGGCCAAGTGGTAAGGATAGGCTGGGGGGACTACCACCTCACTCTGGATCTTACTCTAAATGGGGTGCTACCTTCCTGCACCCCAGTACTTGGCTTCTTCCCCCTAGACAGAGGGACTGGGGGGAGCAGCTCTGATGCTCCCTTCCTGGCCAGGGTCCTGCCGCACAGCCCTGGCAAAGCCAGCCTGTCACCCAGCAAAGCCCAAGAACCAGCAGGAAGGGGCTGAGCCACACTGGGGAGACGGGGGCTCCCTTGGCCACTCCTTGAGCACCTGCCCTCCAGGGGGAAATGAACACCCTGTTTCCCAGTGCACAGCTTGTGTATGTAAGTACCTTGGGTCTCTACTTGCTCTCTAGGCCTGGGGTCCCAAGCCCACCCTATAGTGCCAGGCCAGAAATGGGAAGCAGGTGGATGGGTGTAAACTGACACTCATCCTTAGAGATGGAGACCACAGGGAATGGTGGGGACCAAGGCAAACTGGGAGTTCCTTCTGTCCTTATGTGATTCCTCAGACAAAGAAGGAAGAGGTATACTCAGTCCCACACCACAGCTCTTAGCACAGTGGGCAGAGAGAGGGCTGTACCCTAACTATCTCCTTCCACCCCCATTTACGGACCTCGGTGAGTTCACACTTTTGTACAACTCTGTCTGGTGGCCTTGGCTCTAGATTACATGGGTGGCCACTTTAACCCTTCATGTTATTGGAGCTTCCAAGTCTTCAAGCTGAACACTGAAATGATGCCAAAAAAAGAATCCTCATTTTTACACACTGGAAGTGAACTCAGATTTCACAGCCCCTATGGAAGGAGCCCTGGTGGCACAGCCTTGCAGCACTTGGCAGTTCACTGAAAGGTTTGAACCCACCAGCCACTCTGTAAGAGAACGATATGGCAGTGCTCCCAAAAACTTCAGCCTTGGGGGTGGTTCTATTCTGTCTTATAGGGTCCCTAAGTGTTGGAATCGGCTTGATGGCAGTGGTTTTTTTTTTTTTTTTGAGGGAGGGCAGGCAATTTGCTGATATTATTTATGGCTGCACAGGAGGCAGGCTTGTCCCGTCAGCCTGCTGGCAACTAACCCCCCTACCCCCAGCACTGAGCCACTGTGCCTAGAAGGGCACCCACCTCACACCCACGGGGACCTGGCTGGCCCAGACCAGTGGCCACCCTACCGGCTTGGGGCAGTGGATGTAGCGCGCCAGGCTGATGATGAGGTCATGTGTGATGGGGTCCACCAGGTTCCGGAAGCTGGCGTAGCGATACAGCACATCATCCAGCGAGGTTGACTCCATGCCTAAGTCCTGCAAGAGCAAAGGCCAGGAGGTAAGTGCTGGAGGCTCCCCCGGCCCTGGAGCCCTCACCCAACACCCTCTGCACAGTCCCAACCGGGGGAGGTGGGTCAGCCTCCCCGAGCTACGGCCGTAAAAATAACCACAGCAGAAAAAGGCACAAAGAAGCTTCCCTAAATTACCCTGTCACCCAGGAAAGGCAACTCAGCTTTATCACCTGTTTCTAAGGAAGAAGAAGAGCTGGCATCTGGAGGCTCTACTGAGATGGGCTTACAGGTTTGTGGACACCTCCCAACAGAACCTCCAACCATCTGTGACGCTGAGACAAAGGATGAGGCCTTGGAATGAGTGGCTGCTTGGGGCAAAATTTGGAAACAGGGTACAGAGCAAAATTCCCCCTGCGTGTGTGGCAGCGTAATTTATGGATGCTTCTTTGTGCTTTCTGGTTATTTTTACTGCTCCTTTGTAGACGATGACCCAACTTGACTAGCCCTTTGTCTTGGGGGTTACTGAATTGTGGGCTTGAAAGGAAAAGTTGTCAGGTACCCAGAAGAAACTCCTCATCTATGTCCTGAATCACACTGAGGATTTTCTTTTCTATTCCAGTCTTGAGGTTTTTTATTAAGAAAAGGGGTTGGTCTTTGCAAAACAGGTTTTCGGTTTCCATAGGAGAAGATCATTTGGCCCTTTTCCTTTGTTCTATTGATGTGGTATCTTATGTTGATTGGTTTTCTAATGTCAAAGGATTCCAGGATTCCTGGGATAAATTTCACTTGGGCACAGTGTATGACTCTTTTTATATGCTATGGAATTCTGTTTTTGCTAGTATTTTGTTGAGAATTTTTGCATCTATATTTATTTATGAGGGATTATATGAAGAAGAATGTGGCTTCAGGATTGGAGGAAGACTTGTTGACAACCTGCAACATGCATATGATACAACCTTGTTTGCTGACAGTAAAGAGGACTTAAAATACTTACTGATGAAGATCAAAGACCACAGCCTTCACTATGGCTTGTACCTCAACGTAAAGAAAACAAAACCCTGCACCACTGGACCAATAAGTAGCATCATGACAAATGGAGAATAGATTGAAGCTGTCAAGGACTTCATTTTGTTTGGATCCACTATCAACACTCATGGGAGCAGCAGTCAAGAAACTAAATGATGTATTGCATTTGGTCAATCTGCTGCACATGACCTCTTTAAAGTGTTCAAGAACACAAATGTTAGTTTGAAAACTAAGGTGTGCCTGACCCCAGCCATGGTTTTTCTAATATCTTCATATGCATGTGAAAGTTGCACAATGAATAAGGAAGACTGTAGAAGAATTGATGAATTTGAGTTATGGAGTTTTAGAAGAATACTGGAACCACTATGGACAGCCAGAAGAACATATGAATCTGTGTTGGAAGAAGTACATACAGCCAGAATGCTCTTTAGAAGCCCGCATGATGAGACTTCATCTCTCTCATACGTTGTACATATTATAAGGAGGGACTGTTTCCTGGCAAAGTGGAGGGTCAGTGAAAAAGAGGAAGACCCCCAACTAGATGGACTGGTACAGTGGCAGCAGCAATGGATTCAAGCTTAACAACAATCGTGAGGATGGCACAGGATGGCAGTGTTTCATTCGTTTGTCAGTAAGGTCACTTTGAGTGGGAACTGACTTGATGGCACATAACAATATTCCTGAGGGATGATGGCCTGTCATTTTCTTTTCTTGTGATGTTTGTTTGATTTTGGTATCAGAGTTATGCTTGCTTCGTATGGGTCTGAAATGCTGACCTTGTAGTTTGCAGCCCAACTCTTAACTCATCAAGGCTCCTTTAGGATGGATTAGGGACACTCCTTCCTTCTCTATCTTTTTAAAAAGTTTAAATAGTAGTGGTGGTGTGCTGTGGAGTTGGTTCTGATTCATGGCAAACTTGTTTTGGGGTTTCTGAGGCTGTAAATCTTTACAGGAGCAGAAAGTGTCACCTTTCTACCACTGAGCAGCTGGTAGGTTCAAACTGTTGACCTAGTAGTTGGCAGCCCAATTTGTAATCTAGTACACGACCAGAGACTCCAAAGTGACAAGCCATATTTGACTGTTCTACCCTATCTCTAGATATAATCTTGGAGATGCAGAACATTGCTGTAGTGACTATATTCATTCATTTCATATAATGAAAATGCCCATTTTCATTATAAATAGTTGAAAGAGACACTTTATAAAATTTCATGGCCTTTTTTTTTTTTTT